TTTACGTCTACGTTGGACATCTTTAACCTCAATCAAAGTTTGTATGTAGGTATCTTGGATGTTTTTATTTTCTAGCGAATAAAAATTGTCCCATGTTTGGTCTATTACTAATTTGTTAATGATTGAAGAGCATTTAAAATTACATTTACATAGAATACTCTGTGGTTTAATTTTGCTGGAAATTCGCTTAGTGTTGTAGTTTTTATAGGCCTCACCTTTAATTCTGGCACTGCGTATTTTGTTACGTTGGCGATTTTCCTCATGAACCACTCCACGTCTCCGTTTAAATTGAGATTCGTCTTCTTCTGTACTAAACATTATTTTTCAACTTAATAAATACTATTAAAAATAAATATAATATTACAAAACATTAAATCACTAACACGTGTTTTAGCGCACTTTTGATCAAGTAATATCAAATAATTGTATTGTCAAAGATAATATCAACAACAAACACATGTTAAAACAATATTAAATGGAAAAAGAATACGGCATTCTAGCTCTATTAGTAATAAATACAACTTATAAATTCATAAAAATACAAATTCCCACAGTTTATCGCAGAAAGCTGATAAGCACCGTCACTTGACGGGTTTCTGAACTTAACATACTATTTGACCATAAATTTAATAGCTATGGATATTCGGTACTTGACGGGTTTCTGCACAAAAGGATGTGACTATCTTTAAAGAATAATAAATTGAATCTAGCTCATTTTTTTTTAAATTTGGCATTTGACGGGTTTCTGAAATAATCGTTTCAATTGATGAATGTTACCTTTACTGTTTTAATTATTTGGTGACAAAAAAAAATATTTTTAACTTGTCTCTCCGGAAAACTATTTGGATACCCGGAAAACTATTTGGATATTAACTTGTCTCTCCGGAAAACTAAATGGATATTAAAAATGTATAAAAATTTCAGGATTTCCGGAAATATCTGAAAAAAATAATCCCTGTAATTACGTTCCACGATATCTTAATTACAACTGTCGTCTTTTTTATTTCAACTGAAGACCTTGAAGTGCTAAAAGTACTTTAGTCGCAAAATACTCATTCTGAGATAAAGGAGTTCGAATATTCAAACCAGGAGTTCGAATATTCAAACCAGGAGTTCGAATATTCAAACCAGGAGTTCGAATATTCAAACCAGGAGTTCGAATATTCAAACCAGGAGTTCGAATATTCAAACCAGGAGTTCGAATATTCAAACCAGGGGTGTGGAGTCGTAAAAAAAAAGTAACGACCCCAACTCTGACTCCAGTTGTTGAAATTTTTTGAGTAGAACTCTGACTCCGACTTTAACTCCAATTCCAACTCCAAAGCAAAATTTTTGAAAAATTCTTTGAATTTTTTAAAAAATTTTACGCGATAAGTTAAAATTTTTTTTTTGACAAATTTATGAAATTCTTTGAGGTTTAGTATGAACATAAGGTTATTCTTTAAAAAATTCTTTGAGGTTTAGTATGAACATAAGGTTAATTGAATGTTTTGTACATGCACGTGCAATACCGAGAAGTTTTACTATTGGAGGCGGAATCGCGATTTTGTCTCTCCGACTCCGACTCCAACTCCGACTCCACAACCCTGATTCAAACTAAATTTTAAATCAGGCAAGACATACCAATACATTTTTAATAACTATTATATGTTTTTGTTATTATAATGAAATAAATATTACTATATAAATTAACTCTTTTTGGACGATTGACGAGTTAAAAGTTTACAAATATTATGAAATTTGGCAGTTATAAATTTATTTCATGGATAACTAAAAAATAGTTATCGATGAAAATTACAATATTTATAGTTGTAGCTGGAAGAACAGAAATGGTCCAGACATGAAATGACTTCATTTGGGCCCTTAGCTACAAAATAGTCAGCATATAGATACATTTAAGCAGATTTTTCTTAGATAGATAGATATTTAATCTTTTTTGTCAATATAATTTTTTTTTAATTGTTTTAGCAACAAATTGTCTGGAGCAACCAGAAGACAATGGTTTTATCATCCTGCCCCGTTAATTTCAATTTATTTTACAATAAATATCAATTAGATATAAGATAAACACAAGTTAAAAGATATTTAAATATATATAAATATAAAAATTCGTATGATTAAAATACCCAAATAAATGTATCTTTATATATACAAATACAATTATATGCATTTTTATAAATATAACCATAAGCATTTCCAGCTATTGTGGAAATAAAAAAAGACGTGTAAGAGTTTTTTAAAATAAAGAGATTGTTTCAGTAATGTTCAGGGGCGGATTAGGCTTTGGAAAAGGCCCGGGAAATGCTATTATGAAAAAGGCCCACTAAGTGACTTTTTTTTTTAAATCGTAAATGCTTGTAACCCCTCACTTTTAAATAATTTTGTAACACTATTGAACAATAAGGACTTGTACACACTTGTTTAAAATCAATAAAGATGTCATTTAAGTACATGTGTTATATTTGTTTTATAAATTCATATTTAAATCACAAAAACTAAAAATCATAAAAACAGTAACTTTTTTAATTCACCACTCGATTTAGCAAGTTCATCAATAATTTCATCGTTGGTTATGTTACTCAATATGTCCTTTTCAATGCACATCATCAACAGTGAGTCCAAGTGATCTTCTGTCAACTGACTTGGCAATCTTGTTTTGACACATTTCAACTCCTCTCACAAGCCACTTGGGTAATTAAAATTGTAAGCTTGAATTTGCCCTGTGCAGCATGCAGTAGCTCTTGCTGTAAAGATTATATTTTCGAAGCACATGGTAGCAACAGTAAATGCACGAGCGACACTTCTTAAGAGGGCCGCATTTATGGTTGGTGGCGTCATCTTCATTTTCAACCTCGTCCTCATCAATCGTGATTTGATCAGAACAATCGTAACTCTCTTGCAATGTTTTTTTTTAAACTGGCCACTTTTTTGCAAAGTCCAACAGCTCAAGCAACAGTTGCGCTTCTTCGCCTAAAATATAAAAAGATAAATATAATCTTATAAATATTCAAAATAAAGAACAAAAGAGATAAACTTATCTAATGCTAATTAAAAATTTAATGAAGTTTGCCAATTTGGAAAACAAAAATACTTAAGCAATTACTAATAAAATTTAACAAGAAACCAATCAATTATATTTATAAGTAAATTTACACACCTGTTGCCGAAATATGACTGCAGATTTTCTGTAGGGCTTTTTTTGGAATATTAAATTCCAACTCAATTTGTTGTATTTAAATGGTTTAACAGGATATTACCTGGATCAATCTTTTTCTTTCCTATTACTGCTTTTATAACATATTATTTTGTAAAAGATTTGAATAATAATTTTTTTTAGCTTGTTTCTTAAGTTTTTCAGGTAGGTTTTTATAACTTTTATATCTTTCTTCATTTTTGTAAGTTTTTTTTTAAATATTTTTTATAGAGTTTTTATTTTTTCTTTGAAGATTTGATGAGGCCTTGTGAAATCCATGGATTTTGTAAGTTTTTGAGCTAGACTCTTTTTTCTTGCGTTGGAAATGCATTTTTATAAGCATTACTGAACTCACAGATAAAATGTTCATAAGCTTTATTTGCGTCTTTGTAGTTAATAAGTTGTTTCATTTACATTGTTAAGAATAAGTTGATTAATTTACATGATTCATTTACATAATTCATAAGTTGATTCATTTACAAGAATAAGTTGATTCATTTACATTGAATGAATAAGCTAATTCATTTACATTGTTATGAATGCACAGGTTGTGAATTCAAAGTTGACACTTTGAATTCACAACCTATAAATTTTTGAATAAAACCTTTGAATAAACAACTTATAAATTTTTTCAAAGTCCAAACAGATCACTGCAGTTTCTTTGCTTAATTTTGCATCTTCTGTGGCTTTGTTGATTTGCACATTAAACACATCTGCTTTCCTTATGTGAAACTCTGGTTGGACCTCAGTTTATATACTAGAATCACTTCTGATATACTGTCTGAAATTTTTCACACTTATCACGTCACTTCTGGAAAATCCAAATTTAATATTAAATTCAAAGTTAAATATGTTATGATAAAGCCAGTATATACAATCATTAGGTATAAGATTTAGATTTGCCTTTAAAAATAAGCGACGCATTTTTGCCACAGTCAAAGATAAATCCAGATATTTTTTGATCGGCTGTAGTAGCTTTCACGCGCAGGAAACAGTCTAATGTGATCACAAACACGATCTTTAATTTTTTAAATGGTTTTTATGTTTGCCCAGGCCATCTTCAATGGGAATAGTAAAGTTAAGAACTTTCTTTTAAGTCTAGATTCTCTATGCATAGCAAGAAATGCTGCTTTGCAAGCGGAAACAGTTTGGTCCATTGCAGTGACCGAATAGAAAAAGCTACTTCGTTCTTTGTCGTTTTCTAGGCCTTTGACGGGGGTTACATTTATGCAGCTCTGCAGATATATATTTTTTACGTCATGTTCTTTAAGAGCAGAAAATGCAATAAAAATCTGTTCTTTCTCAATATAACTTCTTCCCTCTTAAGCTTAGTGCCATTTCTTTTTCATTTTGATGGTGTTAATCTTCTAATTTTGGCTTTAAAAAATGACTGTGTTCACCATTTTTGTTATGAACTAATTCTAAAAACCGTTTGGCGGAAAGCTAAGATAAATACTTTTAGCACCGAAATTGAGGATTTAAGTACTATTTGCCCACAAAATTATATCCTTCTTTTTTTTGGCTTACTTAAAAAAGGGCATGGGTACATTTTTAGATGTTGCAATTTATCCAGTACACGGGGCTTAACCGTATTCGAAAAAATTACCAATTATTTTGAATTTGTCAAAATGTGACTTGAACACTTTTAGCACTAAGGTCTTCAACTTGAAAAAGTTTAGCCCTAGCGGAACATCTGGTATCAAATAAGCATTTATTTAAGCATTAAAAGATAAATCTGAGATTTATCTTTTAAAAAACATGAATTACGTCCTTATTTAAAATATAATATCATATAAAACAAAAAAGAAACTTGAGAAAAATTTTAATGTAAACATTGAAGAAAAATTAACTTAAAAATTTGCATAAATAATTTTATAAATATAAAAATATAAAATAAATGGAATAAATAAAAAAGAAGGAACTTATTTAAAGAGAGAATCTGAGATTTTATTTAAAAAAAAAACAACATGGATTAGGCCCTTGTCTAGTTTATCGTATCATATAAAAAAGCAAGTAAAACTTTAATAAACATTTTATTGCAAACATTGCGGATACCAAAGTGATAAAAAAATGAAAATTAATAGAAATTAAAAAAATTACATAAATGAAAAAACTTGAAAATTAATAGAAATTAAAAAAATTACATAAATAATCTTATAAATATAAAAACATAAAACAAACGTAAAATCGCGAGAACTTCTGAGATACAATGTGCACTGAGAGTACTGAAGTGATCAAGAAAAAGAATTTGCTTGGATCATACAATATTTATGCTCTTTTCATAAATTGCTACATTCCTATAGCAACCAATTTAATTTTCTAAGTTGATTTTGCTTCTGCAGCTGGAGTAGACGCCGCAATCTTCTTTTCTATTTATATATATAAAAAAAGTTTTTTTATATCTAATATAAATATATATAATATAATATTTTATATAATATATAATATAATAATATTTTATATATAATATAATAATATTTTAAAACATTTTTGTATTTCATTAAATTTGTGTATTTATTGAAATACACAAATTGCATATAAATGCAAACTATATTATGTTTAAAAAAACTGTAGATTGTCTTTTATGAGCTTGTAAATCCATGTTAATGACGCTATTTATATTTTTGTCAAATTATCTTTAAAGTTAGAATAAAGACTGTAATTTTCAAGTACAGTGACAAAACTAAGTTTGAACGAAGCAATGCATGCATTGCTTCGTTCAAACTTGGTTTTGTAGCATCGATAGAAACATCAACGCGCTCATTATTGGATTCCTTTTCAGTTTCAATAGCATTGTGTCCAGAAAAATTTGCAATGATGTCCTCATCGAATTATTTGTTGGCAATGCAAACATCGAAATGTCTACTAACTCGTCGGCCGTGAGGTTAAAATTTACATCAAATTTGGCTTTTAACAGTTCAAGATAATCTTTTAAGTTTTCCATTACAGCCTCCTTCTCTACTAACACAGAGGAGATTGTTATTAACATTTTTATGCTTTTCTACTGCCTCTAATATTATTCCTGACTTCTCTAAACAATTTATGGTTTGGTCTGGTATGGAATTGCATGCGTTTATTAGCATAAACATAGCAGTTAAAATAGAAAACTTATGTCTTGTTCTATTTTTCCAAGGTAGCAATCTGCTTTTTCACTGCAAGTGAGCGATATTTTGCTTTAAGAGATCGGATAATTCCTTGAACCATAGGTTGGGTGATTGAGGTTATATTCGGCGGAAGAAAGATAAGCTCCACCCAATCAAGTTTCTGCACGTTAGAATGGACAGAACAATTATCTATAATTAAAGCAATTTTTAAAATTGGATAAAATAAAATGAGAAATTAATTCACTTTTTCTTAAATTTGTCCAGCTATCTATCCGAGGCTTGAAAACATAAAGCTTTTTCTTTTACCAGCAAACCACTAATTGGGACATTATCAGCTCTCATTTGTTTGAACCATTTAAGTAGTTTTCTTTACTTGGTAATACTTATCAACTTTCATCCGTTTATCCAAATTTCCTTGAGAAAAAGCGTCAAAGATTATATCTTCTTTCTTTTTCTAGGTTGAAGAAGTGTTTGGTGGAATACCAAAAATTTTTGAAATGGTTAATTATTTTTCTTTTCTCTAATTCCAGTGGAGCCTCGTACTTCCTTTAAATTGTTTTCATTATGCAGTCTTTTTTCGAACTTCGAATGTTTTTAGTTAAAAATTGAAAACATTCGAAGTTTGAAGAGTTCGACGGTTTAACGAGCTTTTTACTCGTCAGAAAATAAAAAAGTTCGATTTACAGAGAGAATTTTACAGAGAGAATTTTACTGATGGGTCTGAAAAATCCATTCAAATTGTGAAGGTTTTCAAGCTATAGAGATTCGAAATATAGAAAGTTAACGTAAGAGTTTATTGAGCGCATTTCACGGTGACTTAGCATTTAATCGAATTATGGAGGTTTTCGAATTAAGGAGATTTGAATTAGAGAGATTGTAGTGTATAAAATTATTTTATATTTTTATTTATCTATACCAGGGTTTCCACGATTAAAACTGAAGCTAAAAGTAAGGCTTTTAAGGAGATTTAAGGAGATATTTTCCTAATATTTAAGGTGATTTGGTCGCGAACGACAATATTTTTGGAACAAATTTATTTTATTATTTATTTTTCTTTAGTTTTTTAGCGTATATAGTTTTACTTATTATTTTTTGTTAGTCATTTTTTTTTTTTAGTTATTATTTATTTTTAGTGGTATATAAATTTTTTATACAGTTATATATTATTTGTTTTTGTTTTCATTTTAGACATTTATTATATATATTATATTCTACCGTGTATTTTTTAAATCTTAAGTTGTTTTTTTTTTGCCAAAAGCAACCCTAGGAACTGAGGTCGGCAAATTATTGCCGACCTCAATCATTTTTAAGGTCGGCATCAGGTCGGCAAAAATTATTTGATAAAAGGTCTGACCACAAAACATAGAAACAAGGTCAGCAATTTTTTGCCGACCTCAAACACTTTCTGGGGTCAATGTTATAAAACTTTTTATCGGCGTAAAATGCTACCGGCTGTAAATTTTATCGGCGTAAATGATTTGTTTCAATGTTATAAAAGTTTTTTCAAAATTACCGTCGATAAATTTCTACAGCCGAAACGTTTACAGTCGATAAATGTTCCGGAGGAGCGACCTACGGAAATTTTTGTTGAAGATCCAGAGAGATGAATATTTTGTTGTAGAAACCTATGGTTTAGAACTTTTCTAAGTACTTACCTTGAGTTGAAAACTTAATACAAATTCTTTCATTTTAATTAAGTGCACATTTCTTGGTAAATTTTAATTTCGAGCGATTTTTTTGTTAAAAATTTTGATACTGAATTTGTCATGTAAGAAATGTAAGTCATTTTCAAAATTTAAAACTGCTCTTATTAACTACTTTTTAGAAAAACATTGCTTATAAATTTCATACTTTCATTCAACTTATTATTTATAAACCTAATTCTGAGCTTCTATTTATCTATTTTTTTTCTTTTCTGTTGTGATTTAATATTTTTTGCTAAACTTATTAAATTTAACAAAAAAATATTAAAACACAACACTGTTGTGTTTTAATATTTTTATATATAATTTAAAAGCAATATTTTTCTAAAAAATAGTGAATGTTATAAAGTATAAACAACCAGTTATTTATTATTTTAATCTTTCTTAAACTAAAGTATTTTCTCTTCATCACTATAATTGTTAATATTATTATTACTATATTTTTATCATTATAAATATTATGATTCTTACTGTTATTAATATTGTCATAATTTTTTTTTGTATTACTGTTTTTGTTATATTACTGTTGTTGTTATTACTATTGTTGTTGTTATTTTTACTGTTATTTTTGTTATTATAATTATAAAAATAGTATAGTGTATACTTTTTATAATCTTTACTGTTACTTTTAATCGCTGTTATTATAACTATTATTTTTATTTACTCCTAATTGCGTTATAATTGTTATTAATATTACTTTAATAATAATAAAATGATGCAAATAATATTAGCATCATTTTATTAGTATTAATTTTACAGGTCTTTATTTCATATTACTACTTATTACTATTTGTAAATAACCTTGATGTATCAACTTTATTCAGAATATATTTGATTTGATTTATTTTGATTACTGAAAATTTGAAATTTAATGAAAAATAATAAGGCAAAAGCATTTTTATTCATTTATGTATATATATATATATATATATATATATATATATATATATATATATATACATATACATATACATATACATATACATATACATATACATATATACATATATACATATACATATATATATATATATATATATATATATATATATATATATATATATATATATATATATATATATATATATATATATATATATATATATATATATACATATACATATACATATACATATACATATATACATATATACATATATACATATATATATATATATATATATATATATATATATATATATATATATATATATATATATATATATATATATATATATATATATATATATATATATATATATAAATATATATATATATATATATATAAATATATATATATGTATGTATATATACATATATATGTATATAAGCTTTCATAAATGAAAGTTAATAAACAAATTAAACTTTTTAGATTAACTTTACAAATTTTCTTTCAGACATTGGAACCTGAAAAAAAACCATCAGGAATTTAAAGTGTTTGAAAAGGAATTTAAAGTGTTTCCAAAGTTGTTATTGAGCTAATTAGAAAAAGGCACTTATGCTAGATTTATTAGGACTATTTATTGATCCAAAAATCAAATCAACTTTAGTATTAGACATATTCAAAATGGACAGGCATAAGAAATTTCTCCATTTAAAATTTATGCTGAGGTTATTTGAAATTCGAAATAGTAAAATAAGTGGTCAAACTATAAACAGAATTATTAAAGTTCTAGAAATTACCTTTGATGCTCGAATATGGTATGAGCTCATGAAAATGTATACTTGATATTTAAAAATTAATTGAACCACTTCGATGTTGGTTCAAATATTTTTGATAAAGTCAGATAACAAAATACATCAAAGATTTTTCTTCTTATTCAGAAAGTGTTTAGACATTATGTACAACTTGTTTCCAAAGTTTCTCATATTGTCTATGGTATGGAAGCATGTCAAAACTTATTGTGGATAAAACTCTAATCAGAAAGCATCAAAAGAGTTTTATGTTTAAATGTTTATTTGTGTCTAAATAAATTTTTGTTATAAGAATTTGGGTTAGTGAATAATTCTTTTAATTATTTTGATATTTAAAGTTATTTTTTAAAAAAGTTTATTAATGCAATTTTTTCTGTGTGTATAGATTTTCTATGTGTATAGATGGTATAATATGTATTTTTATGTATATAGGTTTTATAATATAAAATGTGTATAGATATTTTATATTTTAATTATATCAACACAATTTTACAAAATAAAGATTGATTAATTACCTAATTAATTACGTAAAAAAAAAAAGAATAAAAACTTTTAATTCTTTAATTTTATGTATTTTATTATAAAGACCAAGGCCAAAACAAACAAGGTCAAGGCCAAAAACTTCAAGGCCAAGGCCAAACTTTTCAAGGCCAAGGCCTCAGTTTTTGGTCTTAAGGCAAGGTCAAGGCCAATTAACAACTGTGGTCTAAAGAAACCTCTATATAAAAAATAGAATAAGTTATTTTTATAGAAAAGCTCTACACATTTTTTTATAGGGTAGGGTAAAAAATTAAAGACAATTCCATTTTTTTACTTTTAAATTGTATTCTTAACAGTTTAAATACTGTTTGAACAGTTTTACTTCTCGTGGTTGTCTCTGATTTGCCAAATATTCTAAAGCATTAAAATATTCTTTATCAGAATCAGAACAGTCCGAATCCATAAGAAACTGTTAATTTTTGTTAACTTTGATGTTTTCAACTCAAAAACAATTTGTTTTTGACAACCTTTTAAGTTATTGATTCAGACAGTAGATTTCCGAAAATAAATTTAGAGCATAGATATCTTCAAAATTTTACGCCGGTAAAAGTTTTATAACATTGAATGAAAAAACATTTTACGTCTCTAAATTTACGGCTGTAAAAATTCCTGAGTAAAAATTTCGCCGGTAGAATTTTACGCCGATAAAAAGTTTTATAACATTGACCCCTAGTCGGCAATACTGACACTAATTCCGAGGGTTGGCCAAAGGTAATTTTTTATTTTGTCTATAATGTTTGTAACTTTTGTTTTATTTTGCATTTCTCAGTGATTTTCTGTTTATATTTTATTTGGTTATAATATTTACAATATATTTTGATTATTATATTATAATAATCAAATATATTATAATAAACTATGTTTATATTAATATATTTACTAAATCTTTATAATTTTTTAAGCAGTAGTCATTTTTATGCCATCATTAGTTGTTACGTTTTGTCAGTTTATTACTGTTAGTAACTGTAACTTTTTATATAAAAATGATCGCTGTATTTTTTTTAATTTAGTAATACCAAAAGTAATACCGATTTATTCAAATTATTATAATTACTTTTTATTATTATTGTTATTATTATTATCATTATTATTGTTATTACTGCTATTATTATTATTGTTATTATTAATATTATTATCATTATTATTACTAAGGTTAATTGTATATATATAAATTATTTTGTAAAGGTATTTCCTTGAAATAAGCATTTCAATACTATTTGTAAATTACCGTGAAAATTTATTTTGAGAATACTTGATTGATTAACGATTGATTGAAGAGTGAGGTTTGACTTGGAATAGTCAAGCCTTACTCTTCTCAAGAGGGAATAAATTCCCTCTTGAGAAGAGTAATAGATTTCATACCAGCCTGAATCAAAAAAGTTACATAAGAAGCACATTTGTCAACAGGAAGACGAAATATTTCTACCCAAGGGGCATCACAAATAAAATCATGGAAAGAGTCCCAGGCAGCTTTAAGGTAGTTGTAAGAGGTACGATGATAGGGGAATTCTGAAGGTGAAGATAATGAGATAACAGTTTTAGAGAGATTTAATTGTGATCAGAAGTAGCTAAGGGTGAATGTGGAGAAACTGAATAGGATCTAGAAACAAGACATAAGTCGAGTAAAGAAGGTAAATGATTCGGATTGTCTGGAAAGCAAGTTGGAAAGTTGACTATTTGTGTTAGAGATTAAAAAATGCAAAAGTTATGTCTTAATACCAGCAGAGTCACTGACACTAGCCATTCAGTGTAATAAGTATTAAAGTCACCAACAACAACTGAAAGAGAAAGGGCTGAAGGATAAAGAGAAAGGGCTTAGTCAATTTGTTCAGAAATAACATCAAAAAGAGTGCAATCTTGAAATGGAGAGCAATATAAAACAAAGAGAAAGACAATAGAGGGAAGTGGTGCTAAACGATAGGACATAAAAGAATAGTCTGTGGATATAAACCTAGTTTCCCAACAAATGAGTGAATTCTTACGAATGTAAGTGCCCAGGCCAAGTATGTGACTATTGGAGTCTTTACAAATTAAAGTAAGATAACCATTTACACTAATATCACAAGATGATACAGCTGAACTCAAATTAGTCTCACAAAGAGCAAGTAGGTCTAGTGAACTTTGCAAGAGATAAGACTCAACAGAAGAAAAGTTAATTTGAAGACCGCAAATAATTAGTGAATGTTAGATTTAGAGAACTTGTTGACAAGTAGTGTTTTATTTGGTACTTGAGTCATATTTTAATTTGTTAAAAAACGTGACTCAAAGCACAGATAGTACTCAGTACACTATTTAATAGTCCAAGCAATTGTCTTATGACTATTAATAAACCCTAAGCCGTAACAAAGGGCTCCAAATGTGGCTTTATCAATGCAAACCAAAAGTACAAACAGGGACACCATTCATGCGCATCATGGCACTGTTAGTACTCTGATATTTTACAGTTGTTAAATGGAACCAGCCTCTTTGAGACCTACCACAGAGTTTAAGAAACCTGACTATCAGCCGGCCTCAGAACCATAAAACTGAATTTTAGAGCTGTACCCTCATTAGGCGATGATAGAATGAGTTGCCTAGTCATAAAACAGAGACAGAAGCAAAACCCATACATTGAGTCAAGAAGATTAGCTATCAACATCCTAAACCTACAATTGTATGCAAGTTAAAACCTACAATTGTATGCAAGTTAAAACCTACAATTATATGCAAGTTAAAACCTACAATTGTATGCCAGTTAAAACCTACAATTGTATGCAAGTTAAAACCTACAACTGTATGCAAATTAAAACCTACAATTGTATGCAAGTTGTACGGAATTCCACTAAGTGTCCTCAGTTTCAATACAGAGATCTGTGGCAATCTTGATGGGTTACCCTAAGGAAAGCCCTTTTAGGATAATACAAAGAGACATTTTAACAAAAAGATACTCTTGTGTACACCTAGAACAGATCCCGAGTGTGGGATACCAGTGTTGAATGAAAGCTAAAAGTCTTTTAGTTCATACTGTATCATAAGGAACAAAGCCATACTATCCATGAGACATCCATGATATGATACAACACATACATCTATAATGTACGTTTATCTTGCTAATAAAACAGACCACATGGTAATTACTTGTAAAAAAAATAATTTTGCTCCATTGCTGACACTTTCTATTCATCACATTTACCCTCTACACTAACAACTTTTTATTAGCACAACAATTAATAACTCATTATTCTTGACTATTATTTATTATTTCTGTTTATATTTACTAAATTTTACTATGATTAATTTTTAGTGTTTTACTTTTTAAAGGCTTTTTGTTTTTCATTAGATATCTGTCTTTAGGTTTTTTTTATCTCACTCTGCTACATTCTTTTTAACTTTTTATGCATCTTTAAGGGATTCACTGCACAACAGGTCAATGTTGTGCAGTGTTCTTTTTATTTCTTAATTTGTTAGTTGTTTTTTATGAAAGTAAAAACAAAAGTTTTACTTTACTTAAGTCAAACATTTGTTTAGTTGAACCACTTTCCTTGGTCCCTTGGAGGATCGAGTTAACAGGAATTTACTATATTAAAATTTAAAATTTAAAGAAAACTTTTCATAATTCAAAATATGTAATACAAATTAGTTCTAATGATCATTTTCTTTAAATTTTTATTTTATAATCCTATTTTTGATTCTCAGAAAATGTTGCTACGCCAAGTTATAATCTGAAAACATTTTTGATGAAAGTAAATTTTTGCTGCTGGCATCTTAGATTGTTTTACAATCCTAGAGAAATGCTTTTCTATAAGTTCCTGTGTATTGTTTGATACTTAAGTACTAAATACGATGTTCAATAAGTTTCCTCTCAATCCGGGTTTGTTAATAGATGACATTTTTATGAGGCTATTAAGCCTTGTACTTAGGGTCATATAATTACTTGTACCTAAAAAAAAGGGTTCTTTAGAAAAAAGGCTTAGGACTTGCCAAAAACGTTCCCTTCTCTTCTGGTGAATTTATGAAGTTATAAATATATAGTTATGAAGCTTTATAAAGTACGCATTTTATATACAAAATGGCGATTTCACCTGTACTTTTAAGAAAATCTTTAATCATTTTGAAATTTAAATTGTTTTTTGAAATTTTTATGCCGCGTTTATTAACATTAAATTATTGTAAAAAGATTTTTATCTAAGCACTCATAGCGGTCAACTGGTATGGAATTACATCTGGGTACAACACTGCTTGCACTTATGTAACAAAATTACATCTATGTTGAGAATGTTGCTAAGATTCTTAGCAACATTCTCAACATGCTAGCAAATGAAAAATTATTGTTAAGGACACCCTACACAGACAGCAAAAACACAATCTAAAAATTCATTAAATGTAGTGCTGTTAAAAGTATCATTTAAACTGATAGTAAATATTTTCTTTTAAATTTCAAAATAAAAACTTAAAAAAACTACTAAAAATCAAAACTTAAATGTGTGTCTTAACTTATGACATAGAATCCAAATTCACTAAAATAACATGAATTTCTTTAACTTTTCTACAAATTACAATTTTTTATTTAAATTCACAATCCTAAGGTTTAGGAAGCCACTTTATTTAAAGAAGCTATTCACTTTTATTCTTTTTTTTTTAATTTGTTGCTACAACAACCCTTTATAAAATAACTTGTTGATCATAAATGTAAATATCTATAGAAACTGCATACTTGTAAAGGTCAAATATTTCAATAGAAATATTAAAAACATACCAAGTTCTTCTACTTTCGCTTTTAACGAAGCTGAAGACTTATTGCTTTCTTCTAAATTTTTTTTGTTTTCTTCTAAACTTTTGTTGCTTTCGTCTAACTTTTTCTGTAGTTCACCGCTAAATATTAAATAAAAAAACTGTAACAAATATTAAAAAAATTAGACCTTTAAAACCATTCAGGATGAAAAACATGCACCAGGTTCTGCCAATTCTACAAATTTTAATTTGTATTTTTGAAGGATGTTATTCCACTTTTGGTCACTCACAATTTGTATGTAAAAAAAAGAACATCATTTTAAAATTAAATATTACTATCTTCGCATAATTTGTATTTTTGTACTTAATCTTTAAATTTTTCTAAAAATTTTCTTGTTTTATATAACTATACCTCAGTAATAGTTTTTTTGTTGATTTGCACAACAACTTATAGTATTATAACTTTATCTTTGTTTCTACTATTTATTTTGTTGATTTGCACAATAGCTAATAGTATTATAACTTTACCTTTGTTTCTACAATTTATTTTGTTGATTTGCACAATAGCTTATAGTATTATAGCTTATATTTGTTTATAGCATTATGTTAAAAACAAGCAGCGTTATAAAAAAAAACATATTTAAAAACGTAATTTGTTACATTTAAAGGCAAATAAATTTTTTTGGGAAAAGAAGGAAAGCAATTGTGACCTGGAGTCTAACAAATTTTCTTATATTATATTATATATTAAGTAAGTTATGTACAATATAAAATTACAAATTGCTATTTTATATTATTAAGTAAGTTCTCTAATTATTAAATAAATTATCAAATGAAGTATCCTTACTTAGAACAAGACCAGGGCTTGAATTAAGCATATCACAATCGCGAATTGCAATTGCTTTTCACACCTTCCCGAACATTTTTTTTCTTTTGATTGTTTTCTTTTTTTTTTGGTTGTTCATTTTTTTTTTTTATAATTTAGCGTTTTTTTTTAGCAATTTCTAAAAGTAATTTTTTTGTCAAAGTTTTTTTATTAGAGTTTAAGTACATAAGAGTTAAGGTACATCACATTAAATTTATACTTTGAATAGAAGCATGATCATTTGGTCTTGTGCATGGAGATTTTCATTCAACATAAGCACTTTTGAATTTAAATTACTTTAAATCTCTGCATGGAAGCCAATAATACATTAAAAGGTCATTAAAGCAAAAAGTTTAAAAGTTAAAAGGCGTTAAAGCGAATTTTTTCTTCGTTCTTTTTTTTAACAAAACAGCCTGGTTTTATCCTTTGTTTTTAAAACATTGCAACAAATTAACTTATTATTAAAATCAATGCTAATAGAAACCATTAACTTTTTTTGTTTAACATTTTTTTGCTTTAAAGACGCTTTTAAAGTTCTATTTACTTTGATTTACTGAATGGATAAAGTACATCACAGTAAATTTACTTATAAAATAAATCAAAACAACCAGTTAAGTTACTACAGTAACTTACAGTTACTCATATATTAACTTAGCAACTATATTAATTTACTTAATATACTCAAAGACTCATAAAAGTTAGCAATGCAAATGTTTCTATTTATGTCTTATATGTTGTTGACGCATAATATAAACTCCTAACTAAAAATTATTTTAACAAGAAATGTCGAATAGAATATAAAAAACGTAATACCATTTTTTTATATTTAAATTTTATTTAAAGCAATATCAAGATAAAATATTTTCTATAATTACACAAGTTGTTTTTAGGAAAAGAAATCTATTTGAACAAAAGAATTCTTCTAAAATAAAGGGGTCAGGGCAATAACATCCGTATTTGCAATGTATAATAACGTCCGTGCAACAACATCCCAAATTTCATTGATGTATAATAACATCTGTGCAACTACATCTGTAGATTTTTCGGATGAAACTACATTCAAATTTTTTTTTTCTTTCTAAAATACATAATTTTAACCAGATGTAGTTACGCATCTGATTTTTTTTTGATGTAACTACATCCGCCGAAAAAAAAAATATTATTTTTTTTAAAATTATTTGATAGACTGCCTGCCCAAACCTAACCCTCAGTCGATGTAGCAGCACTCTGTTGCGAGTCAGGCTATTTGTCAGTCGATGTAGCAGCACTTATATAATATAATAACTATATATGTAACTTATAAATGTAACTACATCCGGAATTTTTTTTTTAATAATGCATTATTTTAACCAGATGTAGTTACACATCTGATTTTTCTTGGATGTAACTACGTCCGAAAATTTATTTTACTTAATAATCCATTATTTTAGGCAGATGTAGTTACACATCGAGAAAAACTCTCGGATGTAGTTACATCTTTCTAAAGATGTTTTAAGACATCAATGAAATTTTGGATGTTGTTGCACAGATGTTAATTCAGTAAAGAAAAAAAGCGAATGATCTTACACAAAAATGTGCGGATGCTATTTCACTACTCTACGGATGTTGTTGGACAGATGTAGTAATCTTTTCCCAAATAAAGTCTTCTAAAATTCTCTTATTCAAATATTTTTGCAATTAAAAGTTGAAAGTAAAGAAAAAAAAATTTGAAAAATTTTAACATTCAATAATTGTAAATTTAATTGTGGCGGCATTTCCGAAAGTTAAACTTATATCTAGCTACAGTAACAATATAAGATAAGGAACATATAGCAAATTTAGTCTTTTCTCTTCCAGTAACTTACAACTCTTATAGTGGTTGCTTGCAGCCTTGTTGGAAGTGAAGATGTTAAAAAAAAAAAAAAAAAAAAAAAAATGAGAAAAATTTTTTTATTTAAATTGTAAACATTTTAAATATTTTTTTTTTGTTTCTTGAAAATAGTTTTAACAGTAGAAACATTTTATTGTAAAAATTAAACCAGTGACTATTGCAAACGTTAAAACAAAAATGAAATTATGAAAAATATAAATAAAAATTAATAAACTATTTTCCTTATATTCAAGGAAATTTTTTTCCAAAAAAATAATTTAAGCATATACTTAAACCTAACAAAATATAAACTGATTTATTAAACCAAATATTTTTCTCACTTTTTATTACAAAACAATTTGAACAAAAAAATCGAATGAAAACATTAACTAAAAAACCATTTTAATGAAAAAATTATTTATACTTTAATATTTAATAGTACACTTACTATACTCAGATTTTTAATAGTAATAGCCATAAATTATAAAAAACATGGTATAAATTTTTTTTTTGCTTTGACCTTACTAGTTTGGTCTATAAATATGCGAGCTTACGCATTTTTTTAAAATTAAACATATCTATTCAGTGCTCGAATTAAGTGATCGCGAATTGTGATATCTGGAAATGCTTCCGGTCTTTAAAATTTAAGCTTTTTAAAAACCGCAAAACTGTTTTGATCACTAAACTCAATAGATATCATTTAATAAAAAATATTTGCGTCAATTATGATATAAAGTCCTAATGTAAAACCATATTATCACAATTATTTTCATTATTATTAAAGATTATAATTTAAACTTTAATATTTTAACTTGTTTTATAAATATCAGATAAAACTAGAATAATAAAGTACGATAAAGTACGATATAAATATTAAAAAACAAGCGCTAATCACAACAATCTAAAGGACTTTAACAGTGATCGAATATTTTAAATGAAAGAAATGATAATTAAGATATAAAATACTTTTATATGTTATTTAAATCTCATTCAATATTTTCTTATAAATTTAACGCTTGTAACACTTTAGCTGATACGAATATAAAATTAAAAGACAAAGGAGTTAATATATAAAAACTAATTTAAACTTTTTTAATAGGTACTTTAAAACAAAAAAAAAGAAACTCTAATAACATATTTAAAAAAAATATACTTTATAATTTTTTTGTTATTAAGTAATTAAATTTTAATTTAAAACATTTAAATTTTTAAATAAATAATTCCATAAACTTTCCCCCTAAATAAAAATCTACTTTAATGTTTTATATAATGCGCAAGTAGCTTAAGCATACTTTTAAATTGGTTGTTTTTTTATACAAAGTTTTATACAAAGCGCAAATAGAATTGGCATAGTTTTTCATTGGTTGATTTTTAAATTACCACTAATAATATGTAAATTTTGACTGTTATTATTTTTGCAGTAGTAAATTTATTGTTTTGCTTTTTCAATTTTTGCAATATGATAAACTGACCGTTTCATTAAAACAGCGTTAACGGTTTTTAAAAAAATTAAGAATTTAATGACCACAGATATTTCCGGATATTGCAATTTGCGATCACCTAATTCGAGCCATGCTATTTATTTAATTTGTTTTATTTTAATTGAGGTTTATGTTATTAATGTTATAAAAACGTGAAAATATTTTTTTTTTTCGTGATTAGATTTTATTGCATTAATTCAAGCCCTAAAGACAAAAAATATTGAAATGATACAATGTAAAGCAACATGAACAAGATGTCTTCAAAAACTATGAAACTAATCTACTTTAAATTAACAACTCTTGAAAAAAGACATGACAAAGAAAAGTTTACAAATCGCACTTAAATAGCTCTAGGCGGGAGAGCAAAAAATTATAAGAAAATGTTTTTGTAATTAAAACTTGAATGAATGAGTTTGATACTTTTATTTGTTTTTGTGTTTTGTAATTTAAACAAATAAATTTTATAACTGTTTATAAAAAAAAAGTAATTTAGGTAAGTTATTTTCAATATTTATTATTTAGGTAATTTAGGTAAGTTATTTTAAATATTTATTAAGTTATTCTACAGTAAGTTATTTAAAAAAAAAAAGTAATTTAATAACTTACTAAACTTTAATAAATAAAATATATTTAAAAAATCTATAACTAAGTTTTATGATTTTTAGAACTTTATATTGATTTTTCAGGTCTTTTCGGTTTCGATTCGGTTTAATATTTAAAATATTTTGATTGGTTAGATTCGATTTTTTTAATTCAGTTGTCACCGAAAGAACGGTTCGGTTAACCATGTGGCTTTATTAGCAATGGTATTAATTCTAATTAATTTAGTTTATTTACCTTTTATCTTGAGAAGTTTTTAAATCTGCTGTTGTTTTTTCAATATTCTTTTTCAGTTCTTCCTTTTCTTTGTTGCAATTTCCAAGTTCAGTTTGATATTTTTCTAATAATACAAGTGAATAGAAAGTTTATTTACATACTGAAAAGACAAAAAAATATTTTTACAATTTTTTAGTAAATATGACTTTAAAATATCAAGTTTATGCAATTATAAACAATGAAATTAATATTTAAATTTTCTAAATATAAATTAGTGAAATATTATTGCTTTCAGGTTTTGTACAGTACAGAAAAGTTGAAAAAGCTTTAGCTTTGATAATACTGTTTGCTATTTAAAAGGTGAATTTAAAAATGTATTACAAATAAAAAGTTCAATATTAGGAGCAATTGTGTATTTAATAAACTAATTTCAAGATTACTTCCAAGATTCTCCACATTTTTGAGAACAAATTGATAAGTATTGCGCAATTCTGAAAACTCTAATTGCAAGCTCTGCCCAAGAAACACCAACTAAAAAAATAATAATAAAATAAAAAAATACTTATAGTATTTTGAAAATAAAAAACCTAAAATATACAATTACAGAAAAAGGAGAGCGAAAGCCCTTTATTTTGGATTATATGTATTTTAGGAGGTTACTTATTATTCAGAAAAACACATTCAGAAGTCATTATGTAATAACAAAATTTATATATATATATATATATATATATATATATATATATATATATATATATATATATATATATATATATATATATATATATATATATATATATATATATATTTATATATATATATTTATATATATATATATATATATATATATATATATATATATATATATATATATTTATATATATGTATATATATATATATAATTCAATTTAGCGGTCAGACATCGGACATTGTCTGGCTAAAACCTCAGATTGTACAATCAATTTACAAAGTAATCAGACATTTTGACCAACAGGAATAAAATTCTACAAAATAAACTTCACTAGACTAATGAATAAACTGAATAACAGGACAAAGATTTCGATAGCATTACTTGGTTCCATAAAACCGTAAAAATTGTATTTTAAAAAATTTGTTGGGACACTGCCCGCCCAAAACAAGTTTTGATCAGACATCTTGTCCGGGACTTATAAAAAATTAAATTGAGAATATATATATATATATATATATATATATATATATATATATATATATATATATATATATATATATATATATGTATATACACATAAAGGCGAAAGAGTTTATTCAAAAGGCAGAAACATTTATTAAGTAAAAACGAAGGAAATTATTTTGAATAAAAAGGATAAGTTAAAAACAAAGTATGATAAGGAAAATATTGAAAGGTATAAACAAACAAAAAAATTGAAGAAAAAGTAAGATAAGAAAATGAATAAAAGAACAAATAGATTTAATAAAATAAAAACAAAACCAACAAAAAATCAATTAAAAGCAAAGCACTAAGTTAAAAGAAAAAAAGGTCAAAAAATAATTGAGATAATAAAAAGAACTATTCAAACATTAAAATAAATCGCTACCAAATTTTCTATAACAGGGCTCGAATTAAATGATCGCGAATTACAAAATCCGAAAATATACGTGGTCAATTCTTAGTTTTTTTAAAAACTGTAAACATTGTTTTAATGAAACGGTCAGTTTATCATATTGCGAAAATTCATGAAAAAGCAAAACAATAAATTTACTACTGCAAAAATAATAACAGTCAAAATTTACATATTATTAGTTATTGTTTTTTTAAACAATAATTAATATGTAATTCAAGGATTATAAATAAAAAAAAGTTGCAAGACAAAAATTATTATTACTAAAGGTCCGAAAAACTTTCGCGGTAATTTAAAAATCAACCAATTAAAAACTATGCTTAAGCTATTTGCGCATTGTATAAAACTTTGTAGAAAAAAACAACCAATTAAAAAGTATGCTAAAGCTACTTGCGCATTATATAAAAAATTAAAATAGATTTTTATTAAGGGGGAAAGTTTATGGAATTATTTATTTAAAAATTTAAATGTTTTAAATTAGAATTTAATTATTTATTAAAAAAAAAAAATTATAAAGTATATTTTTTTAAAATATGTTATTAGAGTTTCTTTTTTTTTGTTTTAAAGTAACTATTAAAAAGTTTAAATTAGTTTTTATATATTAACTCCTTCGTCTTTTAATTTTATATTCGTATCAGCTAAAGTGTTACAAGCGTTAAATTTATAAGAAAATATTGAATGAGATTTAAATAACATATAAAAGTATTTTATATCTTAATTATCATTTCTTTCATTTAAAATATTCGATCACTGTTAAAGTCCTTTAGATTGTTGTGATTAGCGCTTGTTTTTTAATATTTATATCGTATTTTATCGTGCTTTATTTTTCTTGTTTTATCTGATGTTTTAAAAATAAAATAATAAAGTTTAAATTATAATTTTTAATAATAATAAAAAAATTAGTGATAATATGGTTTTACATTAAGATTTTATATCATAATCGACGTAAATATTTTTTATTAAATGCTAAAATTTTAAAGACCGGAAGCATTTCCAGATATCGCAATTCGCGATCACTTAATTCAAGCCCTGTATACCTTTTTTTTTTCCGCCAAAATAAAAAAAGATTATTATTTTTTAATTTTATTGTATAGAAGTTTCTGTGTTTGCATTTTTGTTTTGGAGTTTTTGTTTTCATTTTGTAGCTTTTGTGTTTTGCCTTTTCGTTTGAGTTAAGTTTTTCATCAATTGTGCTGTTGTTGCTAATTATTTTCATTTTTGTTGTTATAAAGTGTTTTTTTTTTTTTTTTTGGACTACTATTAAATTTATTATAGCAAGGGTTGATTTAAGTGAAGAGAATAAATTGAAGAGAGCTTTGGAGAATACCTTTTTAAGACTACAATGAAAATCTTGTCTGAATCACAGGCTGTATTAAGTTTAATTGGAACTAACTTTAGTATTGGAAACTAGAGTGATTTGGATGTCTAACAATCGGTGAAGGGGTTGTCCATAAATTCTTATGCAATTTTTGACATTTTTAGACATCCCTCCTTCGTAATGCATTGCAAAACTTTATTGACCCACACCCCCAAAATTATGCAACAATTTTGTAACTTCCATCCTCTAAAAAAATTTTTATAAATGATTTTGAGTATAATAATGTCTATAATTTTCTTAGTTTCTTTGAGTTAAAACTTTTCAGTCTGTTTAATTTTTTTTTCACCCTAATAGTTCCATGTAAAATTGTATAAATTAACATCGCTATCCTAAACATCAGGCTTGGTCGGGAAGCGGGAGCGAATATTTAGTAAATAATATTTAGTTGCGAAAAGTGGCCAGATATTTTAGTCATTTTGAGAACATTTTAAAAAGCAAAAAAAAAAAAAGCGACAAAGATTAATTGGACCGATGAGAAACAATTACAAAAAAAAAAAAAAAAATAAAAAAAAAAATAGGCAAATAAAATATCTTTAAACGCGAAAAAACTTAAGCTAAATAAATTACATTTAGAACAAATATTTTCAAAACATCGCTCTTTTATAATTTTTTTTATAAAATTAGGCGATGTTTTTTATATAAAGTAACAACGGTGCTCTATGATAATACCGTAAGGACTTCTGGGAGCACCTAAATACATACACAAAAAAAAAAAAAAAAAAAAAGATAGAAATCAACTAAAAAGGTTAAAAATATATGACCAGGAAGCGAAACTGCTTCACAATATCGCTGATGATGCTTAGTGAGTGGGCCTTTTAATTTTAATTAGTATTTAAAGCAGAAAAAATTACAATGAGTTTTAAGAATAGCAACTTAAGCGAAAATAATTAGAATTAGTAAACCAATATCTAGAAACTTTTCTTTATATCTAATTACCTCAGGCGCGATGCTTGTTCATCCGTGAGTTACTTTGTATGCGTTGTTTGTGTTTAGTAACCAGAAACTTCTAATATGTTTGTTACATAATTAGTTTTATTAACTTTAACGATTATAACTTCATTGAAAACGCAATTATTTTTGTAAGTCTTTGTTTAAACAATAAAAATTGCTTTAAAAGATACATTACGATAAAAAACAAATACACAAAATTACATTTACATAAAGAATACAATCTCTTTTAAAATAAAAAATAAGAATATACTAATAAAATCTATGATTTATAATAAACTTTTATAATTTTATCAATTTAATTAATATATATTTAAAACATTTATTTTCGTAAACAGATAATGTATATTCTTAAAACAATGCTAGAAATCTCAAAACGTAACAAATCGTGAATAATACAATTTCTAAAAGATTTTAACAGAATACTCTAGAACTTTATTTTGCTTAACCAGAGTATTTTTTGAACTATTAGAATTAGTTTGTTTGTTAATTTGGCGGGTGTTTAGTGTTCGCAAATATTCTTTTTATTCTGTTGCACAAAAATGTTTTGAGAACATTCAAGTTTTTTATATTTCCATTTTATATGTCCGTAAAACAAAATTTTTTGTTTCGTACATAAACTTAAATGTTCTCAAAATGACTAAAAAACCTGGCCAGTTTTACGCAACTAAATATAATTTCCGTGGTCAGTATTCGAGAGCGATCGCTCCCGCTTCCCAACCAAGCCTGAAACATGATTTCAATTTTAAATAGCTATACTTCCAATATATACATGTAAAAATATTATTTTATAAATATAATTTTCTCCCTACTAGTAATGTTAGTGTAGCAGAGTGGATTCCGCTTAAGGCTAGTAAAACAAGGTTTTGAGGTTTATTTCTCGGTGTTGAAGTTTTTTAGTTTTTTAGTTATTGCACAAAGGTTTTTTTTTGTTGCTGCACACTTTTGTGCACCAACTAAATAAAGTTCTGCACTTGGATCGATAAAGTCAAACCGCAGAATGTGCACTGCACATAGACTGTAACAACCGTAGACGCAATGTGTTATGCCAACAGGTGTAACAGTTCGTTAACAGGCTGTAACTACCCCATTAAAGGAGTGTACACATCTACTTAGTAAAATTTAGGTGCAGTTTATTTTACAATCAACATGCAGATACATCAACTGAGGGTTGTAGTTTGGTCAGATACTCTTTTAATGAAAATTATCACAAAATCGCCTACCCCTCCCCACCTAAAGCATAATGAAATTTGTGGAAGACCCCTAATCTGTTTAACTAGAATGGAAGAGATGACTATTAGATTCAAGAGTCAAATTAGTGGAGATGACTATTAGAAAAAAAGTTAATTGCATAATATACTGCTATGCTTTTTAAAAAGCACGGTTGTTGCAAAAAAAAAATCAAATCAAAAAAGAGCGCCAATTTAAATGAGGAGCAGCTCGCACAGCTCCCCAAGTTCGTTTTAGGAGAGCTTTTCTCCGCTCTCATGCTCACTTATTCTCGCAGAGACTTGTGTATATGTATATATATATATATATATATATATATATATATATATATATATATATATATATATATATATATATATATATATATATATATA